CTGAGAAACCCAGACACCCTACTCTTGACTGTAACCCTACTGCCGCCTCCATACAAACATGTATAGCACAAACACTGTTCTAAGCCCTTTATGTATATTAACTTATTTAAGTGCCATGACAACAACTTAGGTAGCACTACTGCCATCCCTAATTTATGGATGGGGAAACAGAGGCCTGAGACATTAGAAGAATTGCCCAGGGTCACAGACATCATGGTAATACATGGCAGAGCTGCGATTCAAACCTAGGCTGTGTGGCTTCTAAATCTGTGCCCTTCTTAACTCCACACTGCCTCTGGCTGTAACTAGTCTCTGATGTCATGCAATCCCTGGAACTCCACATTTTTCTCCACAGTCATCTTGCTTCCACTTCTCTCTGCATCTATCCAAGAACCCACATTGACTTAGTTCCGTTACTCTCTTGCAACTTAGCCTGTCCCTTTGTTCTGCCAAAGCTGCCAGCAAAGCCTCAATTGCAACAGTCTGGCTTTCTGCCACCTCAAGTCTATGCCTAAACTGCTAAGCCTTGTAGGTGAAAAAAACCACAGCTGGGCGGCATGGGCCTTTTGTACCTCCACATCCCGGAACGCATCACTCCGGTCCTTAAGGATCCCGGCAAACCTCCCACTTCCTAATCTAAGCTCACCAACCTGCACCTCACACTGGATGCACCTAAGTAAGCCTTCTCCCTCTTGAAATAAAATCCTCCTTCAGCAGGTCTCTGTCGAGCCGTGGACGCGTGTCTCTGTCCCACAGGATGGGGTTTCTCAAAGTTCTTAAGAATAAGGCCTACGTTAAGAGATACCAAGTGAAATTTAGAAGACGATGAGAGAGTAAAACTGATTTCTATGCTTGGAAATGCTTGGTGATACAGGGTAAAAATAAATACAACACACCCAAATACAGGATGATAGTTCCTGTAACAAACAGATATCATTTGTCAGATTGCTTATGCCCGTATGGAGGGGGATATGATAGTCTGCACAGCATCTGCACACGAACTGCCAAAATATGGTGTGAAGGTTGGCCTGACAAATGACGCTGCAGCGTATTGTACTGGCCTGCTGCTGGCCTGCAGGCTTCTCCGTAGGTTTGGCATGGACAAGATCTACGAAGGCCAAGTGGGGGTGACTGGTGATGAATACAATGTGGAAAGCATTGATGGTCAGCCAGGTGCGTTAACCTGCTGTTTGGATGCAGGCCTTGCCAGAACTACCACTGGCAATAAAGTTTTTGGTGCCTTGAAGGGAGCTGTGGATGAGGCTTGTCTATCCCTCATAGTACCAAGCGAGTCCCTGGTTATGATTCTGAAAGCAAGGAATTTAATGCAGAATTACACCGGAAGCACATCATGGGCCAAAATGTTGCAGATTACATGCGCTACTTAATGGAAGAAGATGAAAATGCTTACAGGAAACAGTTCTCTCAATACATAAAGAGCAGCGTAACTCCACACATGGAGAAGTATAAGAAAGCTCATGCTGCTATACGAGAGAATCCACTCTATGAAAAGAAGCCCAAGAAAGAAGTTAAGAAGAAAAGGTGGAACCGCCCCAAAATGTCCCTTGCTCAGAAGAAAGATCGGGTAGCTCAAAAGAAGGCAAGCTTCCTCAGAGCTCAGGAGCGGGCTGCTGAGAGCTAAACCGAACAATTTTCTATGAGGATTTTTCTGATAAAAACAATAAACTATGGATAGCAAAAAACAAAACAAAACAAAACCCTCCTTCAACCCCATCTGCCTCCAGCTAACACCGTCCCTTTCTTGAAAGCACTGTCTACAGTATATATTTCACCTCCTTGTCAAGAGCCAATCGACTCCAGTCTGGTTTCTGCCCCATCACACTACAGACTGCTTTCACCAAGGCCTTTTTGCTGAATTCCATGAACACTGTTCAAACCTTAGCTGACTTGACCTTTCCAGAGCTTGGGACCTACTGAAGCCTCCCTCCTGGAAACATACTCTTCCCCTGGGATACAGTTCCTCAATTTCACCTTCGCCCACAGAGCCCCAGCCAGAAAATCTGGGCTTCATCCTGAGCTCCTCTCTCCCCAGGCTTCCCTCCACACATTTGCCATCTATCATCAAGCCCTGCAGACTCTCCCCTCTAGGTGTCTCGGAATCCATCCCTTCCTCTCTAGTCTCACCACTGCCCCATCTCTCCTCCTGGGTTCCTAATGGCCGTGGCCCAGCCCTGCTCCCTCCCCACCCCTGCCTTGATTTTGCTCTTGCGGGGCTGACCTCACCAGGTGTGTGAGTGTGCTGCTCTCTGGGCCTGAGCCATGAGCCTACTTTCTCTTGCCCTGGCTGACCCAACTCTACCTTCAGAGTGCAGCTGGGATGCTGCTTCCTTCCTTCCTTCAGATTTCTGCAACTCTGAAAATCAGGGCTCCTAAACTCCTGATGCCCAGATTTTCTGGCTGGGGCTGTGGGCTCTGTGGATGAAGGTGAAATTGAGGGAAGTGTATCCCAGGGAAAGAGTATGTTTCCAGGAGGGAGGCTTCAGTAGGTCCCAAGTGCTGGAGAGGTCAAGTTAGCTAAGGGTTGAATAGTGCTCATGGAATTCAGCAAAAAGGAGTCAGCTGGTGGCCCTGGTGAAAGCAGATTCTCAGGAGTCGTGGTGCCACGACTTCTGTGTCCAGGTCTGCAGGCCCCAGCCATCTTCCTTGAGGGCCAAGATCATGTCCACCTCCTTTGTTGCAATATCCCCAATGTGGGTGCCTGCTTCTCCCCAGGTGCCCAGTAAATATTGATTAAATACATGGTAGGGGGAGGCATCGGGTAGAGGGGCCTGTTTTCTGCCCTCCTGGCTTCCCCTGTCTCTTGGATTTGAAGTTTTTCAGTGCTCTCTTCTCTCAGATCCCCTCCTCACTTTGGGCCTTGGGGAGGATGTGAAGGGGAAAGGTGAGGTTCTGGGGCAGAGTCCTACCCAGTTCAGAGCAGGGCGCCGTCAGAGAGGAGTGGAGAAAGCCCCCCAGCCTCCAATGCCTGCAGAGTGCCTCACCTTCTCCTGTCTCCCCTTCTCCTGCGTCCCTCTCTGTCTTTCTCACCCCTGTCCTCTCACCGCTACAGATTCTCGACCGACCGTCTCTCTGGGCACTACTCCTGCCCCCTGGAGCGCAGGCTGGATGGGGTCTCTCCCCCTTCCCAGCCCCCTCCCGCCAGTCTCCCCCAACTCCTTCACTTGCCTGAACCGGTCCGTGGACATTCTGTGGGTCCGACCTGGCTGACCTCTGAGCACCCCGGGTTAACAGAAAGAAAGGAACCCGGGAGCGCAGGGCAGCCAGGAAAGAGGCCGGGTCACCCCCTCCGCCGTCTGCTGACTTCGAAGGGCTGGGCCGGCGCGCGGCGCGGGTGTTGGAGGTGGGGTCGCCCTCTCCCACGTGGCCAGGTTTCCAGGCGGGGTCCTGGGACGAGCCGCTTGGAGATCCTAGATCAGCAGGTGGTTGGGAGAGAGCGCCCGGCCCTGGGCCCCCCGCCCCTGTGCGCAGGGCAGAGACGCGCAGACCCGCTCGCACTCGGCTCCGCTCCCCTGGAGCAGCCCCCGCTGCGGCTGCGGTGGGTGGGAAAGGGCCGGCGCGCTGGTCCCCAGCCGCCTCCCTCCACCCGGAGCCCCTCTCCTCCAAGGGTTGGCTGCCAACCCTCAGCTCCCCTTCGACCCGGTGCGAGCGGCGTTCTCACCATCCACCTCCCCTCTCCGCTCCCCTCCGCTCGGTCCTTCTCCTTCTCCTCTAAGCTTCGCGGTCCGCAAGCACCCTTGCAAATAACTCCTAGCCCACCCACACCGTCTCGTCCGCACTTTCCGAGAGCCAGACTTGGATATATTGCAACTCACTTTAGGGCGGGGGGTACCAGTCGAACTGGCTCTGCCTTCAGCTTCAAAATGATTCTCCGCCTTTTCTGGAGGGGGGCTGGAGCTGTGGGGTGGGGGGATTTTTCCAGGGATGGACTTGTTTTCAGCACCTCTTCCTCCATCAGCCACCAATCGTGCACCCTAGAAAGGGGTGTGGCCACTAGCCTGTCCAGGGTGTGACTCTATCTCCTGGTGGGGTGTGTAGGAGCTTTTTGGAAAGGGGCTGGGGAGGGAGCGCTGGGCAGCAGGCCCACCTCTAGGCTGGGCTGTGCGGGAGGGAGGACTGAGGTGCTGACTTTTCAGACCCTGGAGGAGTTCAGCTGAAAGAGCATCTCTCCAACCTCTGCCTTCAGTCATTCAGTCATCCATTCATAAACCCTAGCTGATGTGACAGTGTAGCAGGCAGCCTTCATGCGACAGCGGCCTTGTGGGGGAGGGCTACCACTCTCTTTCATTTGCACCTGAGGAAAGCCAGGCTTAGGGCCCCACAGCCTCTTGCCCCAGCCCCTGGGCGGCAGAATCAGGATGTGAGTCTTATCTCCAGACTCCAGTCCCAGCCTGGGCAGTCGTCCTCCAGGTTGGCCCGGCAGGGATGTGACTTCAGGGAAGCTGCTTGGACCAAGCACTCCCTACCTTTGGGTCACTTATGTGTTCTCAGCACCCAGCCCAGAGCCGGGCATAGTCACAGTCACAGTCACAGTCACAGTCCTGGTGTGAGAACGGCTATTGGAAAGAACCCATGTCATTTCTTGAACAGATCACTGGAAGACCTTGGTTCAAGGACCTCTACCTGTCCACGCCGCCTCCCATGCTGAAATACTGGCGAGTTCTACCTCTCCCTAATGCCCCTACCATACCGCCCATGCCAGCAGGGTCTGACCCCACCTTTTATCGAAGTGTGAGGGGGAGAAGCCACATGCCTTCACATTGACCACTCCTGTGACCACAGGGGAGGGAGTGGGGAGATGGGGGGGTGCACTTGAGGAAGATGTACCGGGACATTCACTTGGGCTGGAGGGAAGACGTTTCAGGAAGCTCACAGCAGGGAAAAGAGGAACTAGAGGCCCAGGCTCAAGAATTTCCACCCAGTTTAAGGGTCCTTTGACGCCTCACCCAGTTCTTCCCCAGTGGACATAGCTCTTGCCATTGTATGTTTTTATTCCTTGATTTATTTCACCTGGTCCCCAGTACCTCTCTGTGCCTGGCCTGTCCAAGCGTCAGAGATTCCGCAGCCCCATCCTGGGGAGAGTGTGGTTGAGAGGGGTTGGGTTGATGGGCAGGGTGTAGGGAACCACCTTCTCGCAGCTCAGGCTCCACAGCCCCCACTCCCACCCCCTCCACCCTGGGCATCTCTGGGGCACTGAGGTGAGGATCAAAGGCAGATGGGAGAAAGGGTCTCCTCATTGACTGAGGAGAGACCAGCAGCTTGAGTTATTGTTGATGATGATGATGAAGGAAAGGAGAAGGGGCAGAGAATATTCAGGAGCCGGTGGAGAGGAGGGAAATTCAAGAAGAGGAAGTTGCTTCTCCCAGCTGAAGGCACTGAAGTCACTACACCTGGCCAGCATTTATGGAAGGTAGTCCCTTCATGGAGGTCTGTCATGCTGTGGTTGGGGAGCTGATCCCTGTTGCCTGTGCAGAGCACAGCAAAGATAGAGCCTTGGATAGGGATAGGGAGAGACAGGAGACCGGGCTGCATGCCTGGCCCTGTGACTTTTTACCATGGGACTCGATGAGTTCTTTTTCCAGTGGGGCCTCAGCTTTCCCAGCTGAGATGGACTCGGCTGCTTTGGAAGACTTTGGTTTCCCAACATCCACTGGGGTGCCTTCTGGGTGCCTGGCCCTCTGCTCCCACTCTCAAGAGGGGAAATAGACCAGGGTCACTCAGAGTGATTGGGCTGTGACGGAGGGAAACCCTGGGCCTGGGAAGCACAGTGAAGTCAGGGGGGCTTCCAAGAGGAAGTGCCATCTCCACTGATCCTAGAAGGGACACTATTTCTAGCTTGTCTTTTGCTCACTAAACCAGGCGACAGGCCATGTGGAGAGGGTATCTCGGTAGAGGTCAAACAACTCTACCTGGAGGGTGTGGGTGTGGAGGGAAGAGCGATGTTTTCTATGTGGCCACACCTGGGTCTCCTTGCTCCAAACCTTGCTCTATCCACGGGAGATGGGACTTTGATGTGGCTTCCTAGGGAAAGCCTAGGGAATTGCTTTTACATTAAATTGAAGCCATTAACATTTATTAAGCACCTACGGGTCTGGTGCTAGGCACTAGAGCAGGGGCCACATTCACAAGACTTAAGATGGCTTAATAATTGTTTTGTGAAAAGGAAGACTTCAACCCTGCCTGAAGGGTGGCAAGAGAGAGGCCGGCGGAAGAGAATGAGGAGCGCATGTGGGTAGGAGATTTTTTGAACTGGGCCTTTAATGGTGGGGAGTTTGATAGGCAGAGAGAAGCAGGGAGGGCTCTCGGGAACACAGGGCAAGGCTTGAAGACAGGAATGTGTTTCGCTTGTTCAGGGAGCAGTGAGAAAATGGGGGGAAGAGAGAAGTCAGATCATGAAAAGCCTTGAGTGGTGGAGTTAGACACCAGGGGTCTCAGGGCTGGGCTCAGCTGAGACGTCGCCTCCTCTGACCCCCAGGGGGCAGGTTGTTTGTGCCTGTCCCTTTTGAGCCTCTCTTCTCCAGCGATCAGGAGCCCCCTCAGGCTCCCCCATCTGATTCACTGCTGCTCAGAGCCTGTCCCTGAGGAACTGCCAGGAGTTTTGTTATTTGGAAAAGAATCTTGTCTAGCTCCTCTATCGGGCTTCTGAGCTCTAGAGCCCCAGGGCCAGGCCATGGGAGGGAGAGTCCCTGTCCGTGGTTCTTGTGAGCCAGTGGTTCACTTCTGTAGCCGGGTTAGAGCAAGGGACTGGGGCGTCTTGGTCATAGTCAGGGTCTTGGACGCCGAATTCCAGAGACCAGTCAGTAGATTGAACAGGGAACAAAGCTGAGCTGCAGTCCAGAAAGAAAGGCCGGGCAGGAGCCTGAAACAAGGAACCCTGTGGGGGCATCTGGTGACACTTTGCTCTGGGCCCCAGCCCATGCCAGTGGAATCCATTTCTGAGAGCCTTGGCTAGGAGAGTGCAAAAGGTCCCATTCCACACTGTTCCCAGCTGCTCTGGGGTATGCGGGGCCTGGTTTATGCACGGTTTGGGTCTTCTACCCCCAGAGGGCACTGAGATGGGGTCAGCAGGTGGGACGGGAAGGCCGGGCAGGGGCAGCTTCTCAGCCTTTGCTTCAGCATTCCTCAGCCCCTCGAGCCCCTGGTTTCAGCCTCTCCAGGGTCCTGCTCACGGTGGACAGGCTGCTGCGGGCTCCTGGGGGAGAGAGCAGGGACGAGGACGGCCTCAGTGGACCAGTCCCCACGGAGTTTTCAGGGTCAGAGGAGCTCAAAGGGACCCAAGGCCAGGGTGCTCAGTGACTCCAGGGCAGAGCTGGGAGAGAATGGGAAGAGGGGAGCATCCCAGGGGACAGTTTCAGGCCAGTTTAAAGTGACACTGGGGTCAGGATGGCTTTCAGGAGGATAGCAGCATGGGCTGGGGGTAGAGGCATGACCCTGAACCCACTGCTCAGCTTGAGCTGTGGCTGCAGCACTTCCTGGCTGTGTGTCACTTAATCTCCTTGTGCCTCAGTCGCCCCATATGTAAAATGAAACTAATAGTAGTGCTGCCCTCATGTGGCTGTTGTGAGACTTAAAAGAGTTAACTAATATATGCACAGCGCCTGGAACGGTGTCTGGAATGGGCCTTTTGCTAAGCATCAGGTGTCCTACCACTGGTGGCAGAGACTCTGCTGGATCCATCATTGAGAAACTCCTGCCCTGGAATTTTCCAGGTGTTGGGCAGAGGAACAAGGAGATTCCCAGTTTGGGGTTTGAGCTTTAAACTAGGCTGGTTAAAGCTAGTACCCAAAGCCAGTACCCATGGATGCCTCTTTAAACTGGGCTGAAACTATCCCCTGGCATGCCCCCCTCTCCCTAGCTATCCCAGCTCTGCCCTAGGGTCACTGAGCACCCCAACCTTGGGTCCCTTTGAGTTCCTCTGAGCCTGGGGGAGATAGATGAGAGAGGGGCATGGGAAAATAAACTGAGGCATGGGAAAAAGGGGAGGGAGGGTAAGGGGCAGGGAGGTGCCTTCATCTCAGTGTCCATGCTGGGGCAGACAGCAGCCCTCAGGACAAGCAAGAGGAGACGAGTTCAGCTCGGAGCAGCAAGGGTCTGGCTGCACACGTGGGGGAGCTGCCCAGCAGTACCGGCTCCCTGTGCTGGGGAAGCCCCTTTGCCATGCCACCCAAGGCTCCCGGGCCTCATGGAGCTGCTCAGTCCGGGAGGGAAGATGAAACATGGACTCGGGAATTTCTGGAACTTACCTTCCTTGTTGCCATTGGTGCTGGATCTTCCTTCCCCATGGTCTGGCCCTGGATGGGGATGGATTCTTAGGCTGCCTGCAGGATGAGACCGCCCCAAGCCCCCTGGTTACTGAGCCATTCCCCAAACCAAGGATAGGTTGGGAAGGGAAGTCCTTCTTGCTGTCTAGTCTCCATCCCTGATGTTGTCTTTGCTCCATTGCATTCCTTTAGGTCTCACATGATCTGGGCTGATTTGGGCAGGGGCAGAAGAACTGGGCCCTTGAAGGAGAAAATGGCAGATCTTTTAGGGAGGTGAGGCCCTGGGGAGAACTGGGGAAACGGAAAGCCCCACAGGCTTGGTGGAGATGGCAGCCTGTATGTGGGAAGCCGAGATGAGCTATGCAGAGGCTGTGGGGTCTTAGGGGAAATAGAGGGTATTTTATGGGGGTTCAGAGATGAAGAGGGAGTTATTTAGAGATGTTGGAGGCTTTGGGGACATGTAAAATCTCTCAGGGGAGATGGACTTCCCAGCTGGTTCAGCCACCTTTGCTGCGGGCAGCAGGCTGGATTCTGCTGCGCGGTAGTCATGGCAACACCTGCACAACACACACACAGCAGCTGTAACACAGACAGCTAGAGCGTTCTCACACATGGGCTCAGCCCAGCCGCACAGTGGGTCACAGACGAACACACAAAGGGTCTGGAACAGTCCCTGGCAGAGGGGTCTGGGGTTAGGGAGAGGCCTCACCCGTGGTAGGCAGGATGTGTTCCAGGTTGAACCGAGCCTTCAGGAAGGGGTAGGCCAAGAGGAGGAACCCTGAGAAGAGACACAGGGGTTCTGTGATGGGGAGGCCTGGTGAGTGGGTGGGCTGGGAGCCTGAGGGTGGATATGGGTGCATGGGAGGAGCACAAGTGTGCGGGCTTGGGACTGTGAGTGTAAATATGAGCCCGTAGGTGTGTGCATCTGGGTTGGGGGCAGTGCCTGTCTAGGGAAGGGGCTATAGACTGGGAAGGCCTCAGCCGCCTGGCTCCGCCATGCCGAGGTGAAGAGCAGGTTGCTGGAATGAGCCTGGCTGATACCACCACTGCCTCTCTGCTGTCCCCACCCTCCCCCAGGGCCCCTAGGGTCAGACTGGGCACTCATCCTTGGCATGATCCTCCCCACCCAGACCTGGGGAGCAGGAGCAGCAGAGCCAGTCCTGCCCTGCCCACCCCAACTCCATCCCCCGACAAGCATCTGTGCCAGAACCCAAAGGTGTAGATGCCCAAAGCCCCCTATCCTGGTGCTTCTGCTCCTGCTTTTGGCCTGCGAGTGGGGTGGGGTGGGGCGAGGGATGACACTCAGCCTCACTGCAGGGCTATCAGTGGGCCTGGCCCACACAGATGGACACCGCTGCTGTGGAGGCAAATGGAAGGAAGAGGAAACACTTTTTCTGAGCTAGAGCTTGTCTTGGCTCAGATAGTCCTCAGGAACTCTGTCCTTTTACCTGCTGCCATCAATCCCTTGTTCTGCCCAGATAGGCTGATGAATCCCACCACAAATCCAAGAGCCTAGAACTTGGGGCTGGAGGTCCAGGGGCCATGGGCTTCTCAGAGATGCAGGCAGGAGGGAGGTGCTGAGTAGCCAGAAAGGAGTGGGACAGCCAGCTCCCCCTCCTGTCTCCTCCCCATGGCTGGATGGAGCCCCAGCGCATTCCTCCTCTCCGTCCTGTGCCCCTGATGGCTGCCTTGCTCACACCTCTAGCTTCCATTCTCCCCAACCAATTCCTGCTGCCCCAGCCCTTCCCTGTTCCTTGTTCATCTGACCATGCTCCTGCACCCCTTCCAGAATCTCCTCTCCCTATCCCAGCCCAGCCCCTGCTCACCCAGACTAGCAGCACCAATAAAGACACCACCCATGGCAGCTGCAGCTCTGGATACGGAGATGCCGATGATGATGCTGCCGGCCACTAGGCCGAGAGCCACACAGGCCAGCTGCAGGCAGCGGAAGTCTCTGCTGCTGATAGGGATGTCCATGCAGGCCCACCGGGGCACTGCCTCCAGCCGGTACAGTCTGGCTCCAGAAAAGTCCTGGAAGTTTCTGGGCTCTTGGATGTCCCGTGTTGGTGCTCCAACTTCAGGGTGGGAGTTTCTAGGCTGTAAGATTCTGGGCAGGGAACCCTGGGATTTATCTGCAGTCCTATCCCACTGTTCCACTAGGTGACCTCCAGTCCCACCTTGACCTGGGATCTGTACCAGGTCACCCAGTTTACTCTTCTTCTCTTAAAGCCCTCTGAAACAGAAGCCCACCCTTGGGATTCCTGCCTGACTACATTTCTGCTTTGGCCACCAGAGTTCTAGGGAGCTGGGCCTGTTCCATGGGATCCTTCTCGGCCGGCCTCCACCCAGAAGAGTTCCAGCTCCCCTGCCCAGGACATCTGGCCCCAGCTTCCTAGAGCCACTCATTGTCACTGAGCCTCAGCCTATGAAAATTTAAAGCAATGAGAGGCGGGGTGAAGGGGGAGTTGGTCCAGGGGACATGGGATCCTCAGAGGTGGAGGCAGCAGGGAGGTGCTGAGTTATTCATGAGGTTGCAATGTGAGTGGCTGTCTGGGTCCCTGGGGCCCAGTGCGCAGTTGGCCCAGGTTCCACTGCCAGTTCCTGAGGAGAAGAATGAGCTGGTGGCTTTCCATGTCGTTCAGAAGCAAGGGATGTGAGGAGACTCCTGGTCACGTGCTCAGGGCCCACTCTGCTGTGCTCTGCCCTTTGTCCTGGAGGCACACCTGGGGCCTCTGAGACAGGAACTGTGCCTGGGATAGGAAGTGGGCAGGGAGAGGCATCCCTCCAAGACCGCTGTCTGTTCCTGCCCATCCCATCCCCATCCTGCCCACCTCTGGGCTCCAGGCAGGGCTAACAGCCTAGTTTGATGCTTGACCTCAGGGAACTCCCTTGTCCTCGGGTGGACATGGTACCCACCCCCCTATTAGTGGCCAGTGGGATGGAGAGTTAACCCTTCTAGCCATCTTGGGAATCCCTGATTGGGAGTGACGGGGAAGAGCAGTTGTGGCGCTGGTAGGGGCAGGAGGAAAATACCTAAGGGGTAGGGTAGGGAAGAGGGCTTGGTAGGGGCTGGGTGCTGGGAGGCCGGGAGGTGAGGCCGTGAGTGGGAGGCTGGGTCATGGTTGATGCCTTCCCACCCGCTGAACTGAGCACCTGCGCCTAGCCTGTCCTGAGCTACTTGCAGGATACCCTAACCCAAGGCTGGGCAGTGGTCATCAACCCAGCCCTGAGCCCTGCCCCGGGCCCTAGTTCCAGCTTTCATCATTCATTGCGTTATATGACCCTTTATGTACTGGGGCCTCCCCAGTCCCAGAATATGGCCTCGGCCTGGCCTTGCACGTGGGCACAGTTCCTAGGGTCCCATAATCTTGCTCAGAGTCCTGTCACCTTCCCTGCCAGTCACTGGCCTCCCTGGCCTCTCTTGGATGCCCCCTCTCTGTACCACATCTGCAGTCTCACTTCGCCAGCTCAAGTTCTTGTTCCTCCACCTGTCTCCATGACTGCCCTGTTCTTGTTCTACCTCCTCTGTACACTGAAGACCCCTGGAGGGCAGCTTCTGGGAGTGAGCTCCCCAGAATGCTGTGGCTGGGAGGGACCTGAGCTAGGCTTCTGCACATGAGGACAGAGTTTGGGGAGAGGACTTGGACCTGCATGACACCTCCGGTCATCAAAGAGCAGGGCTGTGGACACAAGGGAGCTGCCGTCTCTAACCAGAGGCCTTCCTTGTGTGTGGAGAAGAGGGCCTGAGAAGGCCCAGGGCCCCCTGAGTGGAGCTGCAGCTCACGATGAGTCTGTAGAGAGGGGTGAATGCGGCGCACAGATGGGCCCTGGACTGTGTTCCTGGCCCCCACACAGGGGAAGCCCCTGGAACCGGGCATTCCCCAGCCACAGCGCTGCTGCCAGCATCCGCTGTGCCTCCTGCCCGGATGAGATCTGATTATTCCTCTAATTAGGCATCAAATCATAGCCCATGTCTCTGTCACACATAATTGATCCCCCACTGACTTAGTTTTAGAAGGAGCCACCAAAATAATTGTCCATGAAATGTGTTCCTGGCTCCTCTCAAAGTCTAAGACTGAGGGCGACTCTCTCACACCCTCACCAAGGCAGAAGCTCCTGGGGCCGTTTTCCACCTTGCACTATGGGGCTCCGGCCAGCCGTTCCATCTCTCTGAGCCCAAGTCCTCGTCTGGTGACGGGGTTGGGGGTGGTAGAGGCGCCTGTGCACTGTTTCGGATCCCAGAAAACACTCTGGCCTCAAAGGAGAGGCACGTTAAGCCTTCATCAGTTCCGAGATCACAGGACCAGGGCTGCCCCAGCTCTTCATAAAACAGGTGGGGAATCCGAGACATCAAGGAAGAGAGGAATTGCCCCTGGAGTCCTCGTGGAACCTACGGGCCCAGGATTCTGCCCCACTGGGAAGTACTCTGGGCTGTCTCTGCCCCTGAATTTCTTTCTTTCTTTCTTTTTTTTTTAGACGAAGTTTTGCTCTTGCTGCCCGGCTTGAGGGCAATGGCGTGAACTCAGCTCACTGCAACCTCTGTCTTCTGGGTTCAAGCGATTCTCCTGCCTCAGCCTTCTGAATAGCTGGGATTACAGGCATGCACCACCACACCCAGCTAATTTTGTATTTTTAGTAGAGATGGGCTTTCACCATGTTTGTTAGTCTGGTCTTGAACTCTTGACCTCGTGATCTGCCTGCCTTGGCCTCCCAAAGTGCTGGGATTACAGGCATGAGCCACCGTGCCCAGCCTCTGCCCCTGCATTTCAACACTGTCTTAGTTGAGGTGAGAGGAATTGGCAGCCCCACCTTCAGCGGGAGACATTGTGTTCAAAGATCAGTCAAGGGGCCAGGTATGGTGGGATTACAATCCCAGCACTTTGAGAGGCTGAGGCAGGAGAATTGCTTGAGGTCAGGAGTTCAAGACCAGCCTGGGAAACATGGTGAAACTCTGTCTCTACAAAAACAAAAATCAGCTGAGCACAGTGGAGTGTGCTTGTAGTCCCAGCTACTTGGGAGGCTGAGGTGGAAAGATCACTTGAGGCGGAGGTTACAGTGAGCTGAGATCACACCATTGCAATCCACCCTGGACAATGGGAGTAAAACCCTGTCTCAAGAAAAAAAAAAAAAAAAGGAAAGGAAATCAGTCCAGGCCTGCCTCTTTCCCTCAGGGCCAGGAGTGCGCCATTAAAGGAAACAGTTGTGATGTAGAGAGGGAGGCCTGCCAATTCTTTTCTCAATTTGGGCTATATCATCTCTGAAAAAGAAAATGTATGCGTGTCCTTGAGTGATGTGCTCACAGCAATAGGCAAATGAGTTCAGGAACCTCTCTGTGAGCCATGCTGAGAAGGAGGCCCAAGGCACCAGGGCCCCATCGCCCCACCAACCCCCGACGCCTCCCAAGCATCAGAGTCTCCCCGCTGAACCTGGGTCCTCTTGGAGGCCACAGTTTCAGGCGTGGTAAGGCCACGAGCACATTGCTGAACTCCATCCCATGTCTCTTCTCTTTGTCTCCTGCCGAGGCAAGGGCTAGAGAGCGTCTGCCCATGCTCCTTCCTTCTCAGAGCACTAAGTCCAAGTGTGGCGTGGGGGTGGGGAGGAAGAGTGGGCGAAAAGGCCCCAGCTTGGTTTGGTTCTGTTTATTTTCCTGGAGGGGTGAGAACCCTGGAAAAGAGTGTGATTAATTCACCAGTCCCCCGGGGGACGGGTAGCTTTCTTGGACCGTTTGGAAGCTGAAGTCAGGGAAGCAGCTTCCAAGGCAACTGCTACCATGGCAACAAGAGTGCCAGCCTTGGGGGGACCTTGCTCCTTGGCCCCCACCAGACCTGAAGCAGCTGGAGCAGCTGGCATGGGACCAAGGCACCTCTGCTCATGGAGCTGGGTCTGGGAGGGGCAGTTGGCCAGGACGAGGAGGGTCCCCCAGAGCCCAGGCAGTTGTAACACAGAGGGACAAAGACTGGATGGTCCCTGTGTCCAGAGGCCCTCAGACAGGAGTCCTTAGGGTCCAACTGAACCAGATCTGGGGCTGAGGCTTGCTCCCTGGGTTTGAGGAGAGGGGCCTGAGGTTTGAGACGCTCCAACTGGCTGGGACCAGCTGTCTCCTTCTAGGGCCCTGCCCACGCGTGAGCTTTGGAGCTGGGGAGCTGGCTTCCACCATTGCAGATCCCATGCCTGGAAGGGGCTCCATGGTCTCAGAGCCTCCTCAGTGAATCTGCTGGATCTGCCTCTGCCCAGCAGAGCCAGGACTTCCAAAGTCACCAGTGAACAGTGGCAGAGGCAGGACTGGAACCCTGGGTCCCGCTCCCAACTTCAGGCTCTTCCCCTTGTGCCACAGCTGCCCCTCTGGGCCAGGGACTGCATTCTGGAGGGGCAGAGCAGCCTGTCCACAGGAGGATCCCACCAAGGGACAGAGGCGTGGCTCATCTTAAGATGCCTGGACCTATCTCCACAGCACACAGTGCTTCTGCAGAGCGCTCCCAGAGCCAAGGACCAGGGAGGGCTCGTCTTGAGCACTTGGACTGTGAGTTGTGTGATTCTGCCCTGGTAGACAATAGTAAATACAGGAATCCCTGATCATCCCTAGGGGACACGTTCTAAGATCCCCCGGTGGATGTCTCAAACTGTGGACAGTACCAAACTCTACATATACTACGATTTTTCCTATACACACTTACCTGTGATGATAAAGTTTAATTTATAAATTAGGTATAGTAGGCCAGGCGTGGTGGCTCCTAGCTGTAATCTCAGCACTTTGGGAGGCCAAGGCGGGCAGATCACCTGAGGTCAGGGGTTCAAGACCAGCCTGACCAATATGAAGAAACCCCATCTCTACTAAAAATACAAAAATTAGCCAGGTGTGGTGGCCCATGCCTGTAATCCCAGCTACTTGGGAGGCTGAGATAGGAGGATCGCTTGAACCCGGGAGGTGGAGGTTGCATTGAGGCAAGATTGTGCCATTGCACTCCAGCCTGGGCAACAAGAGTGAAACGTCTCAAAATGAATAAATGAATAAGATATAGTAACAGATTAGAACAAAATAGAACAATTGTAACAATATGTTGTAATAAAAGTTCCATGGATGTGGTCTCTCAAATATCCTATTGTGTTGTACTCACCTATTTTGAGCACAGGTAACTGAAATTATGGTATTAAGTGAAACTGGATCAATGGGGACTACTGGATTAACTAAAACTATAATAGCTAACATTTTTGGAGCACTTCCTATGTGGGCCTGGAACTGCTCTCAATACTTTGCAATTATTAATTTGTAACTTTCACAACAGTACTATGAAGTAAGCACTATCATCCCCATTTACAGTTGATGAAATTGACTCTCAGAGATTAAGTAACTGGCCCAAGCCCCAGAGCTAGTAAGTGGCAGAGCTGGGATTTGAATGCAGGCA